TTCCGTGGCTACCAGCTCCTTTGACTACCGGAGGCACTCAAACGACGTCCAAAGTCGTGCCAGTAACATTTTCCCCGAGGCTCTCTTACTCGGAGACCGTGTAACAATTACTATGCTTAGCAACGGGGGAAGCTGTATTGGGCTGTGAACCCTGTCAGTAGCGAAACGAACGTCCCAGATTATTATTTTACCCCCATTTTTAGCTTCATGCGCCAACTTTCCATGATTCGTTGTCCGTTAACGCGCGCTGGAGTGGGGATCAAACTGACGCTTTCAACGACGTTTCAACGACGACGTTGACGTTTTTCCGGAACGATTTCCAAACGGCGCGGCGTGGCCGCGCCAAATTTTGGATACTGTAGACAACTGCATAGCGGATCGTTTGGTTTCAAAAATATGCATGTACCTTGTAAGGTCGCTGATCTTCGACAGGCCAAAGTCATGCCATGGACTCAGCGAGGATGATTTCTAGGAAATCTTTCAATCTAATGCAACAACGGAGTGCTTCAATAGTTTCTTAGTCAACACAACAATCTGATCAACGGATTCCATTGACCTAGGACCTAGTGTCCGGTATGAAGGTCAGACCTAGGCCAAAATAAACCTGCTTTATTACTCTAGAGCTTGCTGTGTGTGGTAGATTCTGGTACTCATTTCGAATTTATTGATGCATTATACATTTTCCATAGGCTTTTCAAGAGTAAGGATAGGCCACTGACCTAAAATGGTCCGTGTCAACCTTTTTTATTTTTAGGAGCGTACTGCAAAGCGTAATCCCGAACGCTTATTCAAATGCAAAACTCAAAGCAGCCTTGTGTGATTTTGGTCGTCATGACATCCTGAAGGTCAAACAAGTTCACTGACCAAAAAAGGAGCACCAGTGATTTTTTGCTTAGAACCAGTGTCTAAGTTCTGGGACAGTTTGGACACTAATCTGCATTTTTACCTCGTTTGGCCTTATTTAACGCAAAAGTCATGACCTAGGAACCTCAAATTTCGACAAAAGGGAGTTCACATACAGGCTAACACACCCTGTGGGTTTGTGGTCTCCAGCTCCTTTAGTTTCTGAGATTTTATCGGGTCAAACTGACCCCCACCCGGGCGAAGGGTATTCAACCGGCTACCCGGACGCGTGCGAACAGATCGAAAGCCGCTGAGAACCATGCGATCATGCCAATGAGATCAAGAGAGATCATGAGAACCGGCGATCCATGTCAACGCAGGCTTTGAATACCCCAGTGGATGGAGCCCGTAAGAAAGCACCTGAAGTCATGCATGCCGGCGGCAAGGTTGTTGAACTTCAGCACTAGTGCTCAAACTTTGAATAGAGTATTTGTCACATTTACTATATTCAGTTACACTGGACGTTTAGACATATACCACCTTATCTGTCAAAAGCGACGCCTATAATACGATCGACTATACTACAAGGGTGAGTTGGTCATTGCATCATTCTGCCAGGATTAAGCCTTAGAAGGTCGTGAGAACAAACCAGCTTTATGCTGAAATCTCCAATGAACCAACGCTAATGCCGATCATATAACAGGCTATGCGCCACCTTAAGTGCTTCGCCTCTGAGGTCAGCAAGAACCATTTTCTATCCGCTGCCAATACATTCGTTGCGCATGAATAATGCCGCCAGGTCGCGTGGCGCATTTTGGACCAACCGTTTGTCTCAAGAAATCTAGCATATGCCAATTTGCCGAATGGATGACCTACATCCCTGAATGAGATTGGTCTCTGTTGTACAGGCGAGAGCGACGGAAGCGATCTGTCAAATTTTATGGTCCATTTGTTCTCACGCATTGGTGAGTGCGCCAAAACTAATGAAGATAAAGCGTGCTTTATTAACGGGCCAAACCGCAGCTCCCAATACAGCCTTGCCCATGGCTACTCCCATTGATCAGCCTGAGGTTGTGCAAAGGCGCTGAGGCTTCAGTTGTCCCCAAAATGGAGCGTCATTCCCTTAACGCCAATATGAGGCAGCCGCAACCATTACTGAGCTCCAATGTGCAGCTAGTCATGTGCCCATGGCACTGTCGCGGTTCATACAGGTGCGCTACAAGAAATCGGCATTGACGGTTATTTTGGCACGCAGAGAAAGAGCGACGGAAAAAGACGACAAAGTCGGCCGACGCCAAATACCTGCCGACGTAGTCAGTTGCCCACTCCACTTACGCACCCCACTGATCCACCTCTGCTTACCTTTTTAACTTCTGTTTCTATGCATGGAGGGGCTCATCGCCCATCCATGACCCCCATCTGTGCTCCTTTCTCAGCACGCCCTGTTGGCGCCTGACTGAACCCATCTTCTTTCCGCTCGGCCCGCTCTGGCAAATGATCTGTTTTACCTCCCTTTCCCTGGCCGTTCTCAGTAACCCCTGTGGCTTCGGATCCGATTGGCCCGTCTTGTCCTTTTTAAAAATCGCCATGTCAGTATGTATACTTCCTTGCCTGCTCACACTTTCTTTTAATGAAGATATTAACATAGATAAGATATTTTTATCTTCATACAGGTAAGGCCCCTCTGACTCTTTCTTCTTTTCTCTCTCCCCCTCTCTCATTCTCTCACTTCACTCCTCTCCATCTCTCTTTCCGCTTGTCTTTTACTCACCCACCCACATTTTCTACCTTCATGTGATTTTTTTTTGGACTAACTGCAAACGCAATACCTTCAAATATCTGCAAACTTTTCCCCACCGCCACCTGTTCTCGATATCGCCCCTTCCCACTCTCCCGTCTCCCTGTTTCTGGCGACGTCTGCGCCGTATGGATGACGGCAGATACAACACCCCTTAACCTGCTGCTGACCTGCTGCTGACCCGTCGACCTGCTGGCACCGCCCACCCCCTCCCCCGAGCCGCACCATTCGGCGTCATTTCACCCTCCTCGTCGCTCGATGCCCCACTCTCCTGACGCTTATGTCGTTCCGTCCGTGTGCAAGTGACAGAGCTTGCACGGTTGACCGCCCAGGTCATGGCAGGCGATCCGTCTGCTGGCCCAGAACGAGGTGACCCCTGAATGGCCCGTCAGTTCGCCGCGCCAGGTGCAGCGCCGGCGGCTTCCAAACTGGCGCGCCGTTGGCCGCCGTCATGCTGTGGTGTAACATTCCGTCCTGCCCGATTTGGAAACCCCAATCGGCGCGGAGCCGGGGAGGAATTCACACCGTAGTTGGGGAAACTACACCGCTCACTGATGTAGATTTTTCCAGCTCTTTTACATGCGGTTGAAACGGGATGACTTTCGTCTTTCGATTCTTCGAAAAGTCTTTCGATTTTGAGCTCGATTTGGATGTGAAGGTGGATTGTTTCTTCTTTCAACAGGCGTTGTCGGTCGCCACTTTTTCTTTTACCACAATGGCTCAAAATTTTCTGAACAATCTTTTCGAAGCTCAATAAACATCGTTAATCCTTCAGCCTTGCTAAACAGCACCCTTCCGACTTTCCCCGAAAGTGTGATCGATTGCAGCGATTACTTTTTAGACCATTCAGCCCATGTAGAAGATGGTATGCTTGGTCATTTCCTTCAACGCCTTGCCTCGGTGACTCGGTGGCTAGATACATGCATGCTTGTCGAAGCATCGAAACACACATGATGGATTCGTCAGATGGGGATGAAGCCGTCACGCATGCCATCTGAAAGATGATTGATTTACAGCTCTGGTTGGCTGTAAGGCACTACGTCTGCTTTCGAATTATTCCGATCTGGAAATCGTGCTACGTGTCCCTGACTTAAGGTTGAATGTCTTGCACAATGCCGCATTTGTTTTTTTTCAAAACTGTCACATCACAATGCTGCTTAAACGACTCACTGTGACCACTCAGTAGTTCTGCAAGTGTCTTACAAATTCGTTTTGCAACTTCCATCAAGCGGTGTTCTGCTTACTGAACTCCGCAAAGGTGTAAGCAAACAGCGAGGACATATTCTAGCACGCCAATTTACCCTCATTTGTTAGCAGTTTGCGATTTTATCTTAATGGGTAATTAATCACCAGGGAATTACCACTCCGAAAACAGTGTGTTATGATAATCGCTCCACTGCAGGGCAGGAATGTGAAACCAGTAAGACGCCTTTTGCAACGTGCGACGAGCGAGGTAGTAGCGGACGTAATTGCTATTACCATGCAGCTAGATGATACCTTAGCATACACGACAGGGGCCCTACGCCGCTGGGAGTCGATCCGTATAGGACTTGTCGAATCCACTGGAATATCCTCACCTCGTGAATTTGGCTGGTGAGAATGCATTGATGATTACCGTCCGCACGAGTGCTTACAAATAACGTTCCCCTCCGATCACTGGCTTATCCCCCTTTGACGCTTCTGCCACTCTCTCCGATCATCCCTCCCTTTGGCCACTCTAACCTGGTCTAATCACCCCGTCCTGCTCCGACCATCGTTTCTCTGATCACTGCCTCTGACCACCGTCTCGGACCGCCATCTCTCTGATCACTGCTTCCGACTACCGTCTCTGACCACCGTCTCTCTGACCGCCGCCGCCGACCGCCACCTCTGACCACCATCTCTCTGATCTCTGCTTCCGACTACCGTCTATGACCACCGTCTCTCTGACCACTGCCTCTGACCGCTGCCACTCACCACCGTGCCTCTAACCACTGCCTCTGAACACCGCCTCTGACCACCGTCTCTCTGACCACTGCCTCTGACCGCTGCCTCTGACCACCGTCCCTCTGACCGCCGCCTCTGACCACCGTCTCTCTGACCACTGCCTCTGACCGTTGCCTCTGACCACAGTCCCTCTAACCACTGCCTCTGACTACCGCCTCTAGCCACCGTCCCTCTGACCACTGCCTCCGACCACCGCCTCTGACCACCGTCTTTCTGACCACTGCGTCTGACCGCTGCCTCTGACCACCGTCCCTCTTACCACTGCCTCTGACCACCGCATCTGACCACCGTCCCTCTGACCACCGCCTCTGGCCACCGTCCCTCTTACCACCGCCTCTGACCACCGCCTCTGACCGCCGCCCTCTGTCCGCAGCGCCAACAGCCAGATGGAGAACGCCGTCACGCCAGTGTACCTGGCGGCCCAGGAGGGCCACCTGGAGGTGCTGCGCTACCTGGTGGACGAGCAGGGCGGCTCGCTCACCCTGCCCGCCAAGGACGGCATGGCTCCTGTCCACGCCAGCGCCCAGATGGGCTGCCTCAGCTGCCTCAAGTGGATGGTCAGTCAGATGCCGTTCTTTATTCGCTGGTCTTATGTTTGTGTGTGCATGTTGTATATATGTTGCAAATTGCAGGGAAGGCAGACAGCGTGATCAAACAATTTACACACAAAGGCCTGACAATTAATGTTTTTTTCCGAGGAATTACGCATCCTGGTGATGAAACGTGCACGAGCCTACGAGTCGGTCGGGACTTACCACCCATCATGCAAATTTCCCTCATAGTTCAAGTAAGACACATTCAGACTGCGGGCTCACCCGTAATGACTACGTAATGACTCTTAATGGCACCGGTACATCTCATTTATTCTAGCGCATTGTTAGTGATTATCGATGCTCACTACTCCCTGGGCGCTGTGCGCATGCCGCATACCACACTGCAATCCCAGGTATTGACATTTTCCCAGATATTTTCCATTGCATAAGACGCGCCCATCTACGCGATATACCAAGCAAAGGATGCTATTTTTCCTTTTATTTGCTGACATATATGATAAGCCAAAACTGCACCATACTACATATGTTTGTCAGAATAATGAAAATCAAAATGGGAGTTTGTTATTTGATGATGGACTAGATAGTTTTCGATTATCATGAAATTATTCCTTACTATATCAGGCATATTATGACACCTCCGTGTAAACGCGTGATTCTGTCTCGTGATCCTCGTGGTCAGTTTTTCCGTTTTCTGAAAGCTAGTAGTCTTTTTTACACTGTCAAGTTAGCCAAATCGACATTTTTCCAAACTGCAGAGCCTGCGTTCGGGTAAAGTGCTACACCACGGTGTGAGAACACCGACAACAGCTGCCATGGCAAAGCTGCCAGAATCAGCCCATCTCAACAGCAAAATGTTAAAATCATGCTAATGTCAATGAAAGTCGGCATGGAAGATGCCGCGCTCGACATAGAGCTTTCTCTCGCCTCGGGTGAGACGGTGGCGTGCGGATCAGGTCTAATTGCCGCCCCAAATAAGCGATTAGTGACCTCCCGGAGATGTGCCCAAGGAATCTTTCACGAAAGAACAATATGGAAATAGCGCCAGCCGATGTAATTCGAAAGTGTCCGACATCGCGTGCCGTGCAAGCGACCAGAAAACGGCAACCGACCGGCCATTTAGCCACTACGTCGGCAATCATATGCTCGTCGGTGACCCAGTTTGAATGGAGCACGCTCTTCACCCAGCATGGGTTTCTAGGCACGTATTGAACACCTCTTATGTATGTTTCTAGGCTTTCGCTATCCAGTCGTGTCAAAGACGGTCATATATTACTGAACCAGGAGCTGCGGAAACCAAACTAGCTCCCGGGCCGTTGCTGCCTGGCGACTGCAATAAATCACATGGCGCCATCCATCGCCTGAATTCGGCTCCGCTCTATTCACACGTCGTTTTACAAGTCACTCAGCTGGCCATCCCATGTAACCGCAGAGGCGGCGCCGACCAGTCGGCAGTCGCAATCTGGGCCTCGCCCCGACCGTAACGCGGCTCACATTTCACACCGGGCGGCCGATGCTTTCGAGCGATCGAGGTCCGTGAATGTCTCCTCCCGCCCGTCCCAAATACCGGTCCGCCCGGCCACCCAGCGCGATCTGCGGCGCCGGGCGGGATCGGGGTCGAGGGAGTCGGAATCGACGCGCGGTGCGAGTCGTCAAGCACAGTTTTGATGTTGCCTCTCGTTGGGCCATTTGTTGCAGGCCGGCTTTTATTGCATCGGCGGAAAGAGTGGGGTATATGGTTGTTGTTGTTCAGGCTGTTTGCTCCGACGTTTGCTTTTATGATTACGGATCCATTACTGTCTTCGTTCGAGCGTACATTGCATGGCTGACTGTGCATCAACCTGTTCCGGATGGATCCTGTCCCCGAAACCCCAAGTGTGTCATTTATATACTTGAATAGTTATAAGTATTTTTCCAAACGTTTTTAAGGGGTGAAAAGAAGCTTGATACGGTTTGTTCTGCATTTATTCCGTCGAATGACTGCTCTATGATATTGGTAATTACCCCGCTTCATTACACCTGTCGATACGCTGTTCACATACACACCAAACTCACAATTAAAGGAAATGCTCCATATTTTACAATGTTGAGAGAGGCATCAGATATGACGAAATAAGCTCACTTATAATTATAACTATCCCTTTGAGATGGAAAGACCGCGCTAGACATCAATATTTCTCTATGTAGTAAATATGCTCCTCATTACGGCATTGTTTGATTGCGTCATAGCATCATTGATTGCGTTTGTATGAGTTTGTGGCGTTGGCAGCCTGAACGCGCGAAATTGCCACCCTAGCGCTCACAAGGAGTACTTAAGCTCGCCGAGAGATGGTAGTGGCGTTGCTGGAAGTGTTCGCTGAGCCAACTATCATATGTTTTCGTGTGCTGTCCCTTTCTCGTGGTTTTCTTGCATACTTACCTGCGAGTTTAGACATCTCCTTGTATTCCTATTCTCGGTTGTGGCGCTGTGATTAAGTCACCTCACGATTGGTCTTACTTTCGTAATAGCTGGCAATTAGGTCCAACTTTTTATCTCATGTCGCACAAAATGTGATTCGTAGGTTCCAACCCTCTTATCCTCTTTCTCACCTTATCCTGAATCTTCACGACACCCCTCTTATCCGGAACTGCATGCACTAGCCATGAGTGGGCCGAGGGGCCTTCTGGAGGGATACCGCGACCGGTGGCCCAGCGCAAGCCCCGCCGAGGGGTCGTCACGTGGGCTAAAGCTCGGCGGTTGCCCCCTCCTCCAGGCACATGTAGTCCTGCCCCACCATTATGGGGCATAACTATTATCCATTCTCATTCATCCCGTAGCCCTGAAATTATGAATTTGTTCGAAAAGGCTCTAATCCAACTAACCAGCTGTCAGAGAAACTTACACAACTTGCTCAACATTGATGGAGAACCGATTCATGCCCATTGTATTAGAAAATCGTGCCCTCGGACGCCAGTTCTGAACGGCTTGACGAGCACATTTTTAGTTGCCTTGAACGCCGCATGGCATATAGGATGGCAGGATTTTAATGAATTTGCTACGCGTCATGCATGCCTGAATGGCCTTGGAACTAGTCTGCACATCTTCGCGGGCATATAGCTCAGCAACTAGACTAGGTCGTTACAAAGGCAGGGTGTGAACTGCACCGAATTTCCTCCGAAAAAGCAAGTGTATTTCAAAACCCCATAAAAATGTGGAACATTCCTTTTAAGGCCTTCTAGCCTAAATATCTCTGACCATTCCGAAAGGCCGCATCAAACACCTAGCCGCACTCCAACCCCGCTGCCATTCCGCGTCGGTGTGGGGCTGGACGGGCGACCCAGTCGCCGTTCAGCCAGCTCCCAGCGTCGAACGAGTCACCCATGACTGAGGGGCGGGACATGGGGTTCACCTGCCGCTGAGTCATCCGCTGATCACCGGCGGAGGGGAGCGTGCGGGGTGCCACCCATTGGGACATGCAGCGAGCCATGCAGACTGACGACCGTGGCCCGCTCCCTTCCCAGAAGCAAGCCGGCTTAATCGTGTGGTGATCTGAAGAAATATAAAAAGCTACTGGATTGAATTTTTTTAGAAAAAAACACGAAGGCGTTTGTGCAGCCAGCTCTCTGTGCGTAAGTGGCTGTGATCAGACCGGACCGGGTCCACATAACCAATTGCTTGCCGCATAATTATACATCTCATGCACACCTACATTCCGCTCAAGCAGCTGGTTTCCAGACCTCTGAAACCGCCAAACATGGTACAATCTACATATTTGGCCTGCGCATGGATGACCCAGTCCCTCTGTATTCATGAGCGCCAGTGACCCGGACTCTCTGAATTCAGGGGCGCCAGTGACCCTGTCCCTCTGCATCTCCGACCACTGGTGACCTGGCCCCGCTGTACTCCGCGATGCCAGTGACCCGGTTTTTAGTTCCCCGAGGAGCCAGTGACCCAGCCTCCTGTACCCCCGGTCCCTCTGTACTCCGGGAGCCAGTGGTCTAGTCTCTCTTTACGCTCGGTCCCTCCGTACTCCGGGGAGCCAGCGGTCTAGTTTATCTGTACTCCGGGGTGCCAGTGACCCCGCCCCTCTGTACCAAAGGCCCCTCTGTACTGCGGGGAGCCAGTGGTCTAGTCTGTCTGTGCCCCCGATCCCTCTGTACTCCGGGGAGCCAGCAGTCTAGTCAATCTGTACCCCGGGTCGATCTGTACTCCGGGGTGCCAGTGACCCCACCCCACTCTACCAACTGTACTCTGTACAGTCGGTACAGTACTCTGTTCTGTACTCCAGGAGCCAGCGGTCCAGTTTATCTGTGCCCCGGGTCAATCTGTACTCCGGGGTGCCAGTGACCCCGCCCCTCTGTACCAACGATCCCTGTGTACTCCGGGGAGCCTGCGGTCTAGTTTATCTGTACCCCGGGTCGATCTGTGCTCCGGGGTGCCAGTGACCCCGCCCCTCCGTACCAGCGGTCCCTCTGTATTGAGGGGAGCCAGTGGTCTAATCTGTCTGTACCCCCGGTCCCTCTGTACTCCGGAGGAGCCAGAGGGCCGGTTCCTCTGTGCTCCTTTCATAGGGACTGTGCCGTGCGGTGGACGTCCGGTCAGATGGCCCCGACTGACCCCGTGGTCGAGCGTGTCCGGTCGGTCACGGTTTGATGACCGCCGGTCACCGCCGCCGACGCTCGCCAGCCCTGACCCCGGCCCCGGCCCCGGCCCCGGCTCGGGACGAGATGCGGTTGAGCGATGCGACGAGGCGGCCGACTTACACACACTGACTACGGATGCATCGGGGACAGGCTTCCGTAGTCTACACGGCAAAAGCGCACGTCACAAACAGTCCCTAGCCTGAAACGATGAGAGAGATATTTTGCTATGATGACAAGACGAAGGGTGGAGAGGTCGACAAAAGGCAGCATTAGGTGCTGTGCTGGAAGACTGGTGGGGTTAGTGGGGACCACAAGCGTTCGTCATCGCAAAGATCGGTGGTCATCGCCGCGTCATCGTGAGCGTCATCTGCTCGTCCCAGGTGCTGGAGAAGGACGTGGACGTGAACATGCGAGACAGCGACGGCGCCACGCCGCTGCACTTCGCCGCCAGCCGCGGCCACGCGCATATGGTGCGCTGGCTGCTGCGCCACGGCTCCAAAATAGTGCTGGACAAGTACGGCAAGTCGCCGATCAACGACGCCGCCGAGAACGAGCGGATAGAGGTGGGTTGGGCCGGGGAAGAAGGGGCTAGACCGGAAGCCGTTCTGCTCTTGGCAAAGTTATTCTATGGAATACCTGAAGTTATTCTGAGCTGGAATGTACTTACCTTTGCTGAATGTCCTCGGCTCTGCACACCTTTCTAATCCCTGCCTCGGCGTGGAGAATGTTCACGTTTGTTATGAGTCTAAGTCACCGTGACGTGGGAAGATGATAGCAGAGATGGAACGATGTCCCGACCTCCAGCTTGAATGCAAATTGGCATTTCCTTTGTGGCACTGCACGCTGGCAGTAGAGCAGAAGTCCGTTCTAGGTATGCCTCGTGAAGTGTTTTTGCCCAGTGCTCCAGCAAGCCGTCGCTCGCTCGCGGCCTCGCCTGAGTGCTCTGACGCGGCCCGCAGTGCCTGTCCCTGCTGGTGCAGCACGGCACTGATCCGGACTACGACCTGGACGAGGACACGGACAGCGGCCGCCAGTCCAACACCAACTCGCACCCGTGCTGCTGTCGAGAGAAGGCGAGCACACTGCCGAAGCCCCGCGCGCGGCGCGCGAGCGCGTGTCATTGACCTGGTCTTCGATTGGGTGATAGCAGGCTACATGTGCTGCTGATGTGCCGACTATTTGAGCTGGCGATGCTCACCATTTGTGTTGTCACGTCAGACGGTTTTAAGTCTAGGAAAGTGCGTTTGATATGCAGTAAGCTAGCGAGCGTGCGTTTGGATGGAGGCCTCTGACAGTGTCCGTTGTAATCAGCTTCCCCATTGGCCGTCGCTGCTGGCGCTGACGAGTGCACGCCTTCGCCGCGCAGACATCGGCAGGCGACTCGTCGGGTCCGTCCAGCCCCCGCTCCACCGAATCAGCGTCGTCGCACTACTACAGCGGCGGCAGCTCCAACGGCGAGCATTCGCCGTTTTACCTGCACCGGCCGGCGCCGTCCGCGGCGCCGGCCGCCGGCTCGGCCGCGCCCCCTGGCGGGCCGGAGACCCTCAACGCCGGCCACCGGCCCTTCTACCTGCACGACCCGGGCGACTCGGTGTACCACCGCGTCAACGAGCTCTTCCACTCGCTGACGCTGGGCAGCGAGCAGCGCTCCGAGAAGAAGGCGCCGCGCCGCAGGAAGGAGGGCGAGAAGCAGAGGCTGAAGCGCGCGGCGCCGGCGGCACAGGCTCCGCCGCCACCGCCGCCGCCGCCGCCGCCGCCACCACCGCCCCCGCCGCCGCCACCAGCGCCGACGTCCAGCAAAAGTTTACCGAGGACCCAAGGTAGGAAGTGCGTGCTGTTGATGGCGGTGGTGCTCCCGACGAGTCAGGCGGTGGAATAGAAGGCATGGTGTTCTTTTCTGTCGTGCGTGGTTTGGGACGGACGTGCTGTGGGCAGTCGCGGCAATGCCTCGTCCGGTCAATTTCTGCTGCGTCAGAAGAAACTTCCCACCTTGCGTTGTGCACGGAAAACCACGGCGTTTTTATACCGAGACTCGGGCCTAGTCTGCAAATGCTCTTATTTGGGGGGGGGGGGGACCTACGACTTGGTCAAATATATTTTTGTTGTTGTTTTTCTATGTTATGGATGGTGTTGTAAATAATGTTAGAAAAAGGCGAGTGTTTTTTTTTTGTTCACTACGCTATTCAGTTCGTTCACTGTGTTTCGTAGCCAAATTTGGCCAGTGCATTATCACGACGTTTCGAGAAGTGATTAGGGACCATATCAGTATTTTCTAGTTATCCCCCACCCCCCAACTGCTTATAATCCATGGAACTGAGGTTTGTACCCATATACGTACTCGTGGTCTGTGAGCTGCATGTCGTACAACAGTGCAACAAATATTGCATCATTTTGTGTACGTTGTTGTTCAGAGTGCAGAAAACGTCACCGTTTCGTTCTTTCACAGCTTCGACGAAATCCGAGAATAGTTACACGGTTTCCGAGCCCAGCCCCGCCGAGCAAACGGATGCGTCTTCACGCTCCGATGACAGCCATGGAAAACACGAAGAAGGTACAGGCCAAGTTCCTGTTCACCAAGAACGAGCTGATGATCTTGTTGTGATGGTGCTGAAATTCAAATGGAAACCCTCCTTTAATTGTTGTTTATTTCACCACCATTTGAGGGCTCTAATGCCCGTCAACATGCCAGGCCTTTCTCGATAATATGTTTGTTTGTTCAGAACCTTAATGCTATCTACAGGCCCCGCCCCGTGGTGAAACTCTAGGTCATCCACGCCCTCGTCCTAGATTGGATGAGTCATTTATCTTTCGTTTCCACGTGGACACAGGTATCACTCAACTGATAGTTCACTTTCCGTATACACCTACGATGGGTGACATCACGATGGGTATTCGGCTCACTGAGTTGGTCTTATATCTTGAGTGCTTGACAACAAGACGAATGCTGTAACGCGCGTGCCGTATTTAAAGGTTGTGTACGTCATTGGAAGGTTCAGATTTACGCGGTTTGAAAAGCCTGGAGAGTCTGTGAAGTCAAGACAGAGTGTAAACAGACAAAAACATATGTCACGTCACCTAACCCACCAGACGTCTTGTTTGTCTCAAAGACATCCCCAAGAGGTTCAGTCAAAGCCCCATGGACTTAATCACGGGACCGTCGTTGGGCAGAGCTGCGTGTACAGGGCACACGCACCTTTCATTGTTGCTCTTTAAACCGACCGAATGTCATATGTGCAGTTGTCATATGTCAGTTCACCTTTGTCAGTTGTCACGAGGCACCCAGACAGGCTGTCGCGATCCGGCAGTCCAGGGACGCTCAGTGTCAGCCGTGTGTTTGGCAGACCTGTACGGGATCAGTCGGGCACACAGCCTCCAGACCGTGGCTCAGGTCTACGAGCAGGTGTCGGATGCGGAATCGATCCCGCCTCCGCCAGGTATGGTCACTCACTGCCGCTCGTCGACTCAGGTCCCCTGCTTCCCTCCCAGTGACCTGTGTTACGGCAGGCGACCAACATTCATCTTCACTAGCCTGCGTCACGACAAACGACCCCTCCCCCTCCCTCTCTCCCGCTGGCCTGTGTCACGACAAACGATTCCTCCCTTCCTCTCACTGGCCTGTATCACGAAAAACGGCCCATCCCCCTTCTTTTGCTTGTGTCACGACAAACGGTCCTCAGTGACTCTCATTTCTATTTCCACATTTCCGCACCAACTTTGGTGAGGTACAGACTGGTTGTGCGGGTAGATGCTCATATACTATGACACGTTGGATGATACTTTTTATGGCTGTTGTGGACGAGTGAAAAACCAAAACTGTTTAAGACTATTCAAGCTATTACCAACAAATTTTGTATCGAGTTATCACTTAAGCAGCCGTAGCCAACTGTAGTGAAGTCGAATAGTATAGTCACCACCTCCAGACGTTAATGCTGAACACAACGATTCAACCATGTTTGTCATGGCTTATCGCTGCTCATACTCTGGCCTATTGCACATTTTCGGAAGCAATTTGAAAAGTGAACGAATTTTAGCAAACTTGAAAGCCGATGCAACTGGGATGGTACTTGGCCGGAGAGTGACGAAACTGTACATTATTACGCTGCATGACAGTTAACGCTCCTTTTCCAATTGTTACTCATGGTGCATCAACGAAGCTATATACATCCTTCATACTCTTCCAAGCATAGCAACTTTTTTTCTTCTTCAGCACATGTGTAACAGTGCTCGAACCAAGGCCACTTCACATGATGCATAACACCAGAAGAAGTCCATTGGCTCCCACCCTTCCTGTGCACCCTTGCCGGGCCAACTAACCGCCGCCGGTCCGCCGTTGCAGAGTTTGGCGACGGTGGCGGCTCGAGCCGTGACAAGAGCCCGCTGCGACGGCTACACGCTCTCTCCTCGCCGAGCTCAGCCCTGATCACAGCCAGCCCGGCCGGCGGGGCCGGCGGCGTCCCCGGTCCGCGGCCCCCCAAGCCGGCGGCGCCGGCGCCTGCCGACGAGCCACCGGCGCCGCTGCCGCCGAAGCAGAAGCGCCGCGAGCCGGCCGCGCCGCCGCCGCCGCCGCCGCCGCCCAAGGCAGCCGCCCAGAAGGGACCGCCGCCACCGCCGCCGCCACCGCCGCCGCCGCCGCCGCCGCCGCCGCCTCCTCCGCCGCCCCCGCCGCCGGGGCAGATCGGGGCGGAGCCGGCGCCGGCAGAGGGCAGCACTACGGAAGAGCCGACACTGCGGCCCAGCCATATGAAGCGCACCACGCAGAATTCGGACAACACGAGTCTTTCAACGTTGCGAGAAGCCCGTACGTATTTGAAGCTGCACTCGAATGGCAATAACGTGAAAGCTTGGGCGCGGAAAAGGTAGAGTTTTGAATTGTACGTGTTCAACTGTTTTTTTTCGATATGCCAATTTCATTTCTGTTTAACTGCTTGGCTTTGCGTCCATCTTTGCTGTTCATCACCCATGCACAGTTTATAACAGGTCAAAAGTCAAACTAGCGGTTTATGGTGCGGCCGCACTTACTAATGGCTCACAAACACCCCTTGCGTGTTGCTCCTCAGGTCACGATAAGCTGAGTCGGCCGACGTCGCTGCCGATCGAGCTGGCTGACCAGCTGGCTGGGCAGCTGGCCGGGCAGCTGCAGCAGGGCGGCGGCGCCGGCTCCAACCCCACCCTACGTCCGGCCACTAAGCCCAAGCACATGGCACTGCCCTTCATCCCGCCCAAGTTCCCATCGTTGGCCGACCCCAACAAGCTGATCAAGCCGTCCGAGTACCTCCGTTCGATCGGCGGCAGGCCGGTGGCGCCGCCTGGCGGCCGCACGGCGGCGCCACCGGCGGGCGGTGAGGCCGGCGAGGACGGCCCCGCCAGCCTCAGCTCCGACAGCGGCGTGGAGTCGATCGCCTCGTCGCAGCCGCCGCCCCCGCCACCGCCGCTGCCGGCCATCCCCGAGGTGCCGCAGGAGGCGCCGCCGGCGCCGCCGCCACCGGCCGCCGCCGGGCCGCCGCTGGTCGCTATCTCGGCCAATGAGCTGCAGAAGGTGCAGCTGCGCAAGACGGACAAGCTCACCAAGACGTACTCGGCGCCCGTCGGCTGTGCCACCGGCGCTCCAGGTGGGTGGTGTGGCGTCGCCAACAGGTGGCGTCACGTGACACGTATTCGTCGTATGTGGACGTTATGCGACTGGTTTGGCGTGGGATTTCGCTTCCTTTGTGTTGAGAAGGCATCCTCCTTCACCTTTTCACTAAGCCTCTGCCCGCCGTGCTTGTTCGATATCTGTAACGGTGAAGGTTGTCAAGGGGTTTAACCTTCCCACTGGCAATGTCATAATAGATCTGATAAGCGGCCTCCAAGAAGGGCACGTAATTAGGAGACCGTCTTGCCATGATTTGAGCATGAATGGTACATGCTTTGCTGTCTGATTTATGTGTCTCGACTGAGATCCTCTTTCTTGCATTCAAAATGGCGAACACTGTCGGTGCTCTTTGTCCACCTAGAAGGGAATGCAAACAGCATCGCTGCTTCGTCTGGCGTGAATAACTTCCACTTAATCCTGAGTCAGCGCCGACTCTGTGACATCATCGGCGCTAAGATGGCGAGCTTGCCTTGTCCTTGTCCGCATTCTCAGCCGTCTGACAGCCGTCTAATCTGTCGTCCGGTTGACCCGGCAAATGCTCCGTCATATGCGAGCTCGCTCCATGGCTGCTGCCGGGGGTCTGCAGCTTCGTGTTCTGTCGAGTGGCTGGTATGGTAAATGTGCTTGTTCTCTCCTGTTGGTGAGCTAGTCAATACTCCACCGATCTAGCAACGACGTGACGAATACACCCGTTCAGTCACGGCGCTGATCTGGCGAACATGACCGCCGTGTCCTCCCAGCAGCCTGGTAGAAGTGCACGCTGTCCCTCGGGGATCTGCTGAGCGTCCACATCCCGTCTTGCCGTTGGCCTGATTGGCTTGTTACCCTGCCGTGCATCCTGGTACACAACTCCTAACGGCCCGTTCACCACCCGCCGGCTTCCCTCCGGCGACGGCCTGCGCTCACCGGTGCTGTGTCGGCAGCGGGCGGCGATCTGGTGAACGTGCAGCGCAAGGATGACCTGATCGCCGAACTGAAGCGGAGCAAGGACATGGACGGCGTGCGTAAGCTGCGGGAGGAGCGCGCCAAGTCTGCCGTCCAGATCCTGCGCGAGGAGAGCAAGGAGCTCGTCAGGGAGTTCACCGCCGACGCCTTCTTGAGCGAGGTGTGACGACTGGCATCCTGTTCCCGTTCATGGACGGTCCGGCGCGTGTCATGGTCACGATCACACCAGGCCATTCATCAAGGCAGCTTTCGCCTTGCAATAGCCCGCCTCTGACGGAGCTAAAACCACACGAGCCGTCACGACGTAAAGCCATAAGAACGACAAGAGTCGAGTTGAGAACCAGCATAACATGAAAAATGGCCTGTCTGCAAAGCTATTGATGTTGTTTGTGACAGTGCTGACTGAGGCGGTTTGTGCTGGCTCCATGCTCAAACTTCTCTTCTGTGCTGCAATGGGATGTGAAGTCGCTGCCTATTTGGTTGCGTTTCGTCACCTTTGTGATATGCTCCATGCCTTCTGTGTGGTACGTTGCTGTCCAAATCTGCTCGTGCTCTCTCCCAAATGCGCCCACCCGGGCTGTCCCATCACGTCGTCATCAAAACATAAAAAGATGTTCCTTTTCCGGCAGATCCCCGAAGTGGACGCCACCGGAAACACGATCCCGGCGTGGAAGCGCCAAATGTTGGCGCGTAAGGCGGCGGAGCGCGCCAAAACCGCGGCCGAGGAGCAGCGTCTCAAGGACCTGGAAAAGCAGAAGATCCAGTCACTGCCGCCGTGGAAGCGGCAGCTGATCGCAAGGAAGGAGGAAGAGGACTCCAAACGGTTAGCATCGCGAACGCTGCTGGCTTGTGGGGGTTTTGCGCAATGCACAGTTTACGTCTGCTTTTGTTGGCTTAGGCACAGGCATGTTATCACAGCATTCGTTTGAAGAGCAAGAACAGGGTGCCTCATAAAATACGAAGCGAATGCTGCTAGTAGAGTTTTATTTGAAAGTTGCGGCGCCAAAATCATGCCCCTGGGCAGGGTATGGCCTAGACCAAACGCCTTTTGATTCCCTCGGTCAAATATCACGGTGTTACGTGTATTCGATTGTGAATGGGGATCTGTAATATGAAAAAAGGCGTATAAAACAAACTAATGTTTAACGCGTTTGCCCAACCGTGCCCAAAAAGTTTAAAAGCATTTCAACCAAAGTACTGTATCTTATATGCAACTTGGAGACCAAGAAGCTCCGTAAAGTGTACTCTAGACTTGGCAGCAGCCTCTGTGTGTCTGTGTGTGGGGTTTTGTGCTGCACTCTGCTTATCGCTCTCTTCCCTTCGTTCCTCTCTGGCCACCGAGGCCTCTCTTCTCACTTCTTTCGCGACAGCTTCTGCGCGCTAACCTCCACAACAGTACACCACCCAGCACTGCACACGCTCATCTCACAAAGCAACGCTTCCCTGCACTTTGCAGCTGTGCTAACAAACACCCGCTCTCCAGCCGAGTTTTCGGCGTCCGCTTAGCTTATCACCTCTTTGCAGGTCACACGGACCATGACCTATCGGCGCATACCACGGGTAAGTACGGACCAGGGACGATCCAGCGACGGGCGCACTGGGATTAGCAGACTTTTCGTTCGGTGGTATTTGTTCTGTGATGAAGATCCGCCGAAATAATCCCTAATCCCTAAAAGTATCTGGCAACCCCTCTGCTGAAAAATCTCCGTGGTAAAATAGCATGGGGTTTACTCGGGATATGGCAAAGGAGAAAGTGCTGCCTTGGAGGTGTAAATCTTCAAATGCCTCCTGCCGCCTTACACCTAAAATGTGGGCACAACCGTCAAAACGTGGAATCTCATCAGCGTCATAATCACCGCTTTAGCTGAGCCACAGCTACCCCGATGAAACAGTTCTTTCGTATCCAATACATGTAAACATTACAGACATTCATGTTTTCTGTCTGTAAAGAGTGCTTGAACTTAACGTCATGTTCGCGCATGAGCGTTGGCGAGAGGTCTGGGAACAGCTTAAACGGATACAAAGCTGAATGGTTTCCGGGCATGTCTAATACAACTTAGTGAACGCTACCATAAGCTTGCTTAAACGTAGAAGCAGCAACGAAAGGAAAGGGCTTTGCTGGGTGAGTCTCCCTGACATGAGGTGTCAAGGAGAAGCTGAGATATCCGACGCCATACGTCACGCGATCGTCGTTACAGCCAGCAGGAGTCCTCACGTAGGTAACACACGCACGTAGCGATCAGTGGGCCTGAGTCGCTGCCAACGCTCAGGTAACGTTACACTAACGTTGAGCTCGTTCTCTTCCGCTCTAGCTCCTAGAAACTGTCTGCGTGATTGTGGTGTCGCATTGTTCTCACTCGAATTGTTCTCGCTCGAATTGTTCTCGCTCGAATTACAAGCATGTCTAACGCCATGTATGCCCGCGCTCTTCGTGTAAACTGGTGTCGTGAAACACATGACTCCCCGGGTGGCCATCGGCTGGTGGCGCTAACCGTACGCTTGTCTGCATTCAGTCAACTAATACCAGTCAGAGACATGTCAAACTCCGTCAGTCACGGACGCCAGAAAATGCTATCAGTCCCTCATCTGTGGGGAATGTGACATCATGCCATCGGTCTCCGATGACACGAGTGATGGCCAGGGTTGGCCATGACTGTTGATGTTACGACAGTTACTGGTCAGAGATGACCAGTAACTGTCGTAACAGCAACCCAGTCCGTCGTCTGACCGTCGTCCGTCAAGGATGTGACCTTCACGGATGTGACAGCGCGTGGCCACATCTGTCAGTTTGTCATACGTCAGCAGGCAGCCGACGCGCCGCGTTATCAGCCGCGGCCGTCTGACGGCTGACGGCTGACGGCTCCCCTCTGCCCGCAGTCGCTCCACGACAGGCATGCGGAGGGTGCCGGTGGCGGCGCCGACTCCCGAGGAGATGATGCGCGGACGAGCGACCCCCGTGCCCAACCGGACTCTGCCGAGATAGTGCCGGCTGTGCGGGGCCGGGGTCCGGACTCTGCCGAGACCGTGCCGGCTGTGCGGGGCCGGGGTCCGGACTCTGCCGAGACCGTGCCGGCTGTGCGGGGCCGGGGTCCGGACTCTGCCGAGACCGTGCCGGCTGAACAGCTTCGGATCCGGATTCGAGCTCTGCTGAGACCGTGCCGGCTGAAGAGTATCAGAGCCGAACTCTACCGAGACGGTGCCGGCTGAACAGCTTCGGATCCGGATCCGAGCTCTGCTGAGACCGTGCCGGCTGAAGAGTATTAGAGCCGGACTCTGCTGAGACGGTGCCGGCTGAAGAGCGTCGGATCCGGATCCGAACTCGGCCGAGACAGTGCTGGCTGTACTGGGTCTGAGTCCGGGCTCTGCCGAGACTATAACGGCCGCGTGGAGCCGGAATCTGGACTCTTCCGGGACAGTGCCGTCTGTCCGGGACTGGAGACCGGACTCTGCCAAGGAAGTGCCGGCTGTTCAGGGCCGGAATCCAGGCTCTGCCAAAACAACGCCGTTTTTAAAGGTCGGAATCCGAGCTCTTTTATCATAGGCTGGCTGCCGTACCGCGCTTACATAAGCCAGGATCTTCTGTCGTTCAGACTCGCTTAGCTAGACGTGAGCCGGGGACCATAGCTGGTTCACACACCGGCGCAGCGCGGGCGGCCGGGCGTGTACCGCCTGCCGCGCCCGTCCGCCGCCAGCCTCGGGGCCCGGCCCTGGCAGCCGCGTGTCGCGGATGTTCTGCAGCTGGGACCAGGCGGCCGCACCCTGGTGGCACCCAGTGCTGACTGCTCTCCACCCTGGTGGAGAGAGGCCGCGGCCCGCGGTCCGCGGCCCGCGCGCGAACGTAGGACATTGTGATAAAGACGTAGCGTCTGCGGCGGCGAGAGTTCATGGACTATCTGTGCGCGTGTGAGATGCGTGTCTGCGCCTGGGGATAGCCTGGATTGTTTGATATGAAGTCGTTCAGGGAGTGGATGAGATACGTGAAGTTCTTAAACATATGCAGTGATTACCATTTATAAATGATATCAATTAGAAGCAGTTTCGTGTGTGAGTGATGAGTGCTTCTTAATACAACTGGGACTATTTTGTTGGTGTCTGTGTGCTCTCCAATGCTAGAATAGAGTTCAATGCAAGTTGTATATATTTACAGATAAAGACATGACAACCCGTCATGCCCGAACTCACCAACACTCGAAATTATAATTCAGATATATCAGTTTATTTGAAGCATATTTTCTGGCTGTCAATGGTATAAAAAAATGTTGTCGTACCCGAGTCCTGGAACAAGGGACATTACGTTAACATTATACATAGCGCACACTTCTGCTATATCTCGTGATCCAACCAACTGGCAATAGTTAATCGTAGAAAGCGACCAACGGACAGTCTGAAAGCCTGTCAGCGCCCTAATGTATTTACACGCCTAGACCGCCCGATTTCATTATCAATAAATCGTTATGCCGCAGTAGTGTCCAGATTTATTTTAACCGTGTGTGTGCATATTTGGCACGATACGTTACATCAGACACTGCAATATAAGGCACAGCTCTGATGCCGTACACGCGGAGCGGACACAGCTAGGCGCCCGACCGGGCTCCGCCTGATCCTGCTCAGACCGATCCCACGCAACACGCAGAGGCCGCCAACAGGGGCAGGATACACGCTCGCATTTCTCGCATGACAAATATGACCTACTGATCTGCTCATCATGATGCTGCATCATTATCTGCTCGCACAGCGCATCACTTCGGAGAACCGTCGTTTGTTGCGAGCCGCCCCTTGACCCAAGGTGTTCCGCTCACTCCACTGCTGTGTGGCGCGCGGAGAGGGCAACACAGACTTCTCCCATGACCCTCTTCCAACGCATTGCGTGTGGAGAGGGTGGTCTAGGACCCCATCGCACACATGGTGTGTGTGTGTGTTGTGTGTGGTGTGTGTGTGTGTGTTGTGTGTGTTGTGTGTGTGGTGTGTGTGTGTGTGTGTGTGTGTGTGTGGTGTGTGTGTGTGTGTGTGTGTGTGTGTGTGTGTGTGTGTGTGTGTGTGTGGTGTGTGTGTGTGTGTTGTGGTGTGTGTGTGTGTGTGTGGTGTGTGTGTGTGTGTGTGTGTGTGTGTGTGTGTGTGTGTGGTGTTGTGTGTGTGTGTGTGGTGTGTGTGTGTGTGGTGTGTGTGTGTGTGTGTGTGTGTGTGTGTGTGTGTGTGTGTGGTGTGTGTGTGTGTGTGTGTGTGTGTGTGTTGTGTGTGTGTGTGTGTGTGTGTGTGTGTGTGTGCGTGTGTGTGGTGTGTGTGTGTGTGTGTGCGTGTGTGTGCGTGCGTGCGTGCGTGCGTGCGTGCGTGTATGTGCGTGTTCCAAGATCCCACTGTATCTTCCTTGTCATCAGGTGCATTGCTTACCGATTGTGTGCCCGAGAATTCCACTGTACCCACCACTTCACCGGTTGCGCGTTGTGTGTATGCCACGGGTGGTCCAGCACCCCTTTGCACCCTTCCGTCGGTGAACTGCGTGCGGCACGGGCGTTCCGAAACTCTCACGCTGTTCAGACTTTGGCACATCTGCCGCCACTAGCCGGCTATCCTCCGCCCATCCCGGCCATTCACGTGCGCCTGGGAGCGTCTCCACCGGCGCGGTGGTGCCCAACGCTGCCGTGACCTCGCGGGGCAGTCCATCTGGCTCGAGCCGGTTTAGGGCGCAGCTCGCGTAAGGCCGTCACTCCAGCGGCCCATAGAAGTGCGCCCGTGCTTAGAAGCCTGTCGTGCCTCCAGCAAGATTATGCAGAGGTCCTGTCAGTGGAAGGTAGTGCCGGGCTGGTGCCGCTGTGTATGTGCAAATTATGAGCCTGCAAACGTCTTGGTGGGCTCGAAGCAGCTGTGTTGTAGGTCTTGATGCGATTCAGCCTTGTTTATGGTCATGGAGAACGACGATGGCAGCGCTGTTGTGGGAAGCAGTTCCGGCGTATTAGATTTAGGTGGATACGAGCATGAATTATTATGCGATGAGTGATGTCCTGTTCTCCTCGGTATCCATAACTTGTCGCAGGATGATATACGATCAATTGTCTCTGTCCATCGGGGGAATTTAACGCATGATGAACAAAAGCTGTCCCAGCTGTCTCAGAGTTTCTCTGAAAGCCCGCTTAAGCATATTTCACTGCCTCCGCATACGTCACTCACGGGAAACGCGCACTTTCCATGGGCCCCACAATACTTGGAATGCCTGCTGTTGGTCATCCACTCAGCTCAGCGCTGCGAACATTTTTTTTTTTACCTCCGTCCTACGCGGTAAGCTCAGAGGCCCTCTAAGGTATCAAAAACTTGAAGCAGCCCACGGAAATCGGCATTTGAGCGCTGCCGTCAAGCTACGTCAGTTGGATGGGACGCTTGTGGATGTGACTTTTGACAGGCCAGATAAGGTCACATGAGTAAAAACAGTGAGTCATAGATTCTTGCTATCTCAAGTGCTACGTTTGCTACAGCAGTGCGAACAACGGCGTTCATTATATGTTGAAGAAAGCTCCATCAGTTGGGCACTAAGGTACACTGACTGGTGTGATCTGTGATGTGCCAAATGTGATGTGATGTGGGTGTGATGTGCCTTGTCAGGCCAAAGAGGTGAAGGTTTTGTTGCATTGGTCCGTCCGGTCGTGTCACAAAAGGTCACGTAGGTGACGACAGCAGCGGTGAAATGCCTTTTAAAGCAGTTGATAATGTCCTGTTAATGTTTATATGTAATGAGCTTCAAAAGGTCACATTTTGCCGTAAAGGTAAAGTTCTACCTATTTTGACTTTAGTCTACCTGGCCTTGAAAAATAGCCATATCGCTTTGAATGGTCTTCAGTGCAATGAGGTTCAGAAAAGCTGTCCAAAAATTTCTTTTCGTGCATTTCCTGCGAGAAAATGACGTTATGTGTCGCTTTTCAGCACAACGCCACCGTCATGATCTCTAAAAATATTGTATTTCATAGACCATAAGCCGTTAGGGTCATGACAGCGGGCTTAAGCATGGTCCGAAGTCATTCCGAAAACGCCTTAAGGCTTTCCTTGCAGCATGAAGGCAAATCTATGACTGACACTGTTGAATATGTATATATATATATATATATATATATATATATATATATATATATATATGCATGCATGCATATATTGATAGATAGATGAATAGCTAGCTTGAAACGTCAGTTTTGACGATAAAATAAGGCAGCATGCCAGTGACAAAAGTATCCTATTTAGGACAACCGTGGTGTTAGCTATCACAATGCAGCCTCCAACGCGTAGCTTCAGACGCACAGCCCAGGGACCACTGTTGGCATGATGCGAGTTGTCCAGCCGGATGCGACAGGTGAGTCCAGGTCGTTCTCGTCATACCTCTCTAAAACGGCCTCCATGAGCGGGATGCATCACGACCGACCAATCAGGCGGCGTCATACAAGCAGGCCAGAACGGCGCGCCCCGAAATCAGCTCTGCCTGCGGTAGATGCCTGCTGCAAACAGGCCACCCAGAGGCGGCATTCTTTTCGTCAGTGGTGCCGGGGTGTGCCAACAGTACGGATGCCACAGCTCGTTCTGAAGTTGATCCGCCCTGTGCATCGTCACATGGCTGGTTTGCAACGTCTTACAAACATTGAGTGAGCCGTGGCTAGCTAACTCCCGGGCATACGCTTGGCACCCCGGGTTATTTCACCTACCCCCTCTACAACACTAGCGGAGCCGTTCTCAATTGAGACTAACAATGCACCGTGCTGAATAAGGGCTTGTTCTCGACGCTTTGGCTGTTTCAGCCTTTCAAACTAAGCAGTGGATGAGGCTAAGGAGTTGTGTCATGAGTGATCTCTAAGAAATGATAAAACAAAGCCGTAACAAGCCTGCAACAAGCCGTAAAGAACCGTGACAAGCCAGTAACAGTCAAAGCAGTAACCGTCCAAAGAGCGATGTGGTACACTCTGATGAACTGCTAACCACGTAAAAACGGCACGTGACAGTAGCTGATATGTACATCCAAATAACTACGAGTCTATAATCTCCAAAAGTAGTAAATAGTTGCTTGCAATAGATCGCAAAGTCTTGGCATATCATGCAACAGAACTGCAGTTTACCTATGTGCCTAAAACCATCCTGGAAAACCATCTGCGTATTCGCAAAGATGCTGCGTAAATTGCTCGTGCTTTTTGCTATCAAAACGTTTTCCAAGTGGCATTAACCAAGTTCCATTTAACTGATACATACTGTCTTCGGTATAGCTTGAAGTGCATAGCTTCATCATGCTCTTGGATTTGCTGCTTTTACTAATGCACCAAACCGCGATGATTTATAGCTATGGCTCTCACAAAATATCCGAGCAAAATACAGCCCGGTCTTAAAAATGGAGCTACGCCAGCCCGCTCTTGGAAACACAAACGCCTCAACAGCTTTGCAATTGTTCCAGTTGTTGGATGCTGATGGTGACCTTGGAGACGCATTAGATGCTAGGAACTCCTAAAGCTGGCGACGCTTGGGTGCCCAGCGGTTCGTTTGCATAGCTTCTCAAGGGAAATGGCTCTTATGCACGGCGATCGTGAGATATGACTGAGCACCTTACAGGATGTGCCGATGACGAATATAATGCTTTGGCCAATCCGGCCAGAGGCAGAATATGGCGGTGAGGTGAGCGGCTGCCATGAAGTTAGTGCTGAGCCTCCTAAACGTGAGGACTGTGGTTCAGGCATCAAACCTCGTGTATCCGGGTTAGTGCGCGCCACTTTTGGCAACCGTTTTCAACGACGAAGTCACCAGTCTAGTTGTCATCGGAACTGAACAGCCTTGTGAAAACGTTCAATAGGTGGACAGAGTCGAGCCTTGATCATTGCTTGAGGTCCAGGTCTAGTTCGATAGAAGCCATGACTTGGCTCCGCGATTTTTCCCTAAGTGGTTAACTCTGCCTGCCTCGAAAAAGGATACCGATCTCACACAGAGGGCAAAGATCACACAAGTCACCACGATCCCCCATACTTTCCTCATTCTTGCTTCATTCTGAATGCTCGTGCTACCCAAGTTAAAAAGCCAAAACCCAGCCAGGGTTATCCTCTAAATACTATAATACCACGATACAAGATAA